AGCTGGAAATTGTTACACTCCTTGAGTACACCATTACAAATAATATATCAAAACTCCTCATATATCCTTGGAGCGGGAACTTGTTTTATTTGCATAGAGACGTCAAAAATATCACGTTTTGTTATATAAGTATCTCTAAATGGAAAGAGATACCACAAAAATACCTTATAGAGAAATTGCATATAAAACAATTATATATCAAACTTTTATTCCATGAGTCACTGTTTTTGAGATTGTGATTTGCCGACTCTCAGAGGCTCTTCTGCTCTTATGCGGAATATATTATACAGGGTGGCGCATCGAAAACGAAACAGACGCATTTACTGGCAGCTCAGTTTTTTTTTGAAGAACGCTCAGACCCGTCGATTTTGTTTTCGATTGGGACACAAGTTTGGCAAAAAATCACGTTAGCACGTGCAGCACCAAGATCGCCAGATTTATCACCTTTAGATTTCTTTATGTGGGGTCATTTGAAAAGCAAAATCTATGCTACTCAGCCAACATCATTAGAAGACCTGCGACAAAGAATTGTGAATGAGTGCCTTCAAATGACTCCTCAAATATTGCAAAATGTGCGGCAACCTATTGAGCAAAATCTTTATTATTGCATGGAGAGTCATGGTGACCATTTTCAACATTTACTTGCCTAACGGGTCAGGTCATTCTTCATTTTTGAATTACTTTGCTGCCAAATGTATTGATCTCCACTAATGATGATGTATTAGTTTTATTTAAGCTTTAAATCAATAAATCTTCAAAACTACTGAACTGAAGTAAATTAATTTTACATCATTATAAAGGGAATTGAAAGACCTTTAAAATAAGGTATCACTCCACCCCCCTTTCCATTTAAGATTTTAGGGTTGGTGTCACCCCCGCCCAGGGGGCTGCATGTGTTAACGTGATTTTTTGCTAAACTTGTGTCCTCCTCGAAAAAAAAATCGACGGGTCTGAGCGTTTTCCCAAAAAAGACTGAGCTGCCAGCAAATGCGTCTGTTTCGTTTTCGGTGCGCCACCTGGTATATGCACTATCGTCCGTTCAATATATATATATATACATATATATATATACATATATATATATATACAGGGTGACTTCGAAGTTGAGTCATTTATTTTAACAGTGAGTAGATCTGATCAAAAGAAATGTTTTTTTCCTTTACCATTTTTCTGGTAAAATTAAAGTAACAAAGTTATAGCCCTTTGGAAGTTTGAGTACCGCCCTGTCTCAATAATAATATTATGTGCTCGTGTTTGGCGACAACGAATATAATTCGCCTTATCAGTTCATCGCATCGGAAACAAAAAAGCGAAAGAATTTGGAACGATGTTTTTACAATTATTTCATTCAGTTGTATACAGTCAGTGTCAGTCGGTAGTGGATAGTGGTGTCTGTTGCGTGGCTCAAACGAAATAAAAAATGGCACATGTTTATGCGGATCGGTTTCCCAATCGAGTGCAACCAACCCCTCGTGCCTTTGTTAATGTAGTACAACGGGTTCGTGAATCATTTGACTTAAGAACTCACATATGGACGGCATGCCGGTGCTCTAAGACCTCACGATCAAATACAGGTCCGCACTGAAATACTTGTCGGGAGGATACTTTATAAAACAAGGTAAATTTTTTTTTTATTTTTACACACACACATTTTGGTTTATCTTCCTTCTACAATCATTATCTGAAAATTAATGACTCAACTTCAAAGTCAGCCTGTATATATATATATATATATATGTATTTTATATTAATTTTAACGAATGTACCATGTATCCAGCTTTCACCAGGCTACTAAATGTTTCCCTCAACCTAACTGTTAATAACATTTAGCAAGAATCTCACATACTAATGTAAGTGATTTAAAATCATTTTGCACAATAGTTTCTATTTCTTCTCAATCTTATTGCAGCTCCTGATGAAGATGGCAAAGTCCGTTGAAAGCTAGAGACTAATAAAGTATAAATAGTCCTCATTGCTTGAATTTTGTCGAAGTACCCAACTAAAGGCGGAAGCTTTATTTTTCACCTAACTGGTCTAGACGACAATGACCACGACTCAAGTTATATATATATATATAGGTGAAAAATTAAAGCTTCCGCCTTTTGTTGGGTACTTCGACAAAATTTAAGCAAAGAGGACTCTTTATACTTTTTTTAATTCTCTCTAGCTTTCAATGGACTTTGCCATCATCATCAGGAGCTGCAATTACAATGATAACAGTAGCAACAAAAGTGTAAAATGAATTTAAATTGAATCAACTTACGGTAGTATGTGAGGATATTGCTAATTGTTGTTTTCGTTTAGGATACATGGTACAATGGTTAAAATTATATAAAATATGACAAGACAAGTTAAAGACAGATTAAAAATTATTTAGAAAACATTAGAGCATTACGTCGTGAAGCCACTTGATGATTGCACAAAATGGTGGTCATGGAATAATGAGTGAGATGAACCTTTGACAGAAGGCCGAAGGTTGACAATGTCTGTGTTGAAAGATGGAACGAACTGTGGGCGTGTGCCAAAACGTTGCCAAATCATTTCAGATGATGTGATTTTCAGAATGTTATGTAAGAAATTGTTAAATTGACCAGAGGCAGTTGAATAAACTATATTTTAATTAATGGGAATTTTGAATTAACAATTATTAATAAATCGTGAGAAGAGAATTATTAGATTTTGAGTGGAATGAAATTTGTTGGTGGAATCGGCCAAAACACAGATTATATTTATGGTTGTGAAAAGTCGAAATTTGGGGAGATATGTAAGTTCTCCAATTTTTCGCAGTTTAGTAAATATGAGTAAATGACACTCAGTTGTTTAATATCTGTCTTTTTGTTGATACAGTTGTTATTCATGAAAATGTGGGACATATATATATATATATATATATATATATATATATATATATATATATATATCATATATCTTGTTCAAAAGGTTACTGAGTAAACTTTCATACTTCATCTTGTAGATCCTTGATTCTTTGTAATGTAAGTGATCATTCAAATACCTTATACTTTCATCAATTTTGTCCAAAATTTGTAAACTCTCTTCATTATTAACTTTATTGTTTAACCCGTCTATCTTCTCTTGGCATTTGTTGAAATTTGTAAAATACTGTAATTTCTCATGCACACTATTCCTTTTTTCTTTAAGGATTTTCTGATGAGACATTAGTTGCTCACTCAAGTCATGCAGATAGTTTGTTTTTTCAGTGACATTTGTATAGTTCATTTTCAGTTTAATTTTTCACCTAACTGGTTTAGACGACAATGACCACGTCTCAAGTTATATATACGTATATATATAGATATAGAAGGTATCCTTTAATTTCTTTGTCAATAATTGTTTCCAGCTCCAGACGATGATGACATAGATCTTCGAAAGCTTGAAAGTTTAAGTTATAAGAGTGTACTTTTGCAATCTTTGCCTTCACCTAAAGAAATTAAAGGATACCTTCTCCTAACAGTTAAGGCAATTAACTATGAATACTATATATTATATATATATATATATATATATATATATATATGGAATCATTGATACATACACACCACTTATACAGGGTGTTTAAAAAATGCATTCCATGAGCAACCAAACATTTGTATACAAAACAATTGAACGCGAAATGCTTGAAAACTAAAAAAAGAAGCTATTGGTATTGATCTGGACCATTCAAAGATATGATGGTCTGCATACGGAGCGCTCAAAATATATGAAATGAAAGTACTATTTTCGGAAAAAAATCTTATCCACTTGATAATTGCTTCAGGCCTTCAATATGTTATTGCAATTGATATACTTATCAAAAATACCCATCGATCCATGGAGCGTAAAATTATCGTTTTTTTTTATATCTCTTTGCAACGTTTCGAGTAACCACAAAAATAGCTTGTGCCAAAATTGTAGAGGATTCAATTCTCTATAAAACTTGCTCAATTGTTTTTTGGTGAGTCGCTGTTTATGCGTATTTTCATTAGTAATAGTTACACCAACTGCGCATGTGTATATCAACAGTGTCAAGATACCAATTATGTCTAGTCGAATAAGCTCTTCAATAACAAACTAGAATCGCGCCCGATTCGATTGTTGTTGCACCGCTAGCTATTATACCTTCATACGTCACTCGGATCGATTACAAAGAAGCAATATTTATAACTTCTTGGCGCACATCATGTGCGACCGATAGGCTGGAAATCTAGGTGTTAAGTATGAAATACGTGTAAAAGTGTGCAGAATTGCCTGGTTTGGAAGTGTATTAATATACTAATATAAAACATTGATATATACCCTCTCCTACCCTACAACCCCTCACACCCAATGTTTTCCTTCTATTTTTTTTTCCAAGAACGATCGGCACGGGTATCATGTAAAAAACCTATGAAACGTCAAAAAAAACCTATAAGATGTCATCGTGCAAACTAGGTTGTTTTTAGGGCGCAAACAGTCATTCCACGTTTGCTCTCTAGGATCGTTGTGAACGTCCATCTAAGGAGGAATCACTCAACTAAACTAAACGCATTATTGGTTGCATATGTTTTGTGAGGCCAAATGGCCCTTGTCTGTAGTTTTTATCTCTGAGAAGAAAGTTGGTTGAATAGCAAGATCGCATCTGGATGATTATGTGTATTTGTCTGCATGTGTATAAAATCAGTGATATTTGCTGTGTGAGAAAATCATTACTGAATATGCTGCCAATGAAGTATATCTATTAGCTGTGCCCGACGGGTTATTTTCGTGTTGTGCTTTCGGAAGAGAGGTTATGTTCAAAGTTATAAATTACGAAAAACTGAGGAGAATTACGGGAAATCATCACCGCGCCCGCGTTGTGTGTAATTCCTGTTAGCATGTGGGATCTATATTTATAAGAACGTATTTTCTTTTACAATTTACAAGTTTTTGTTATCCAAAACGAAGTTCTAATAAACATATTATGGATTCCGTATTCTCTAGTTGCATCAGAAATTGACAGGAGACTTGTTAATTTTCTTACTTACCTGGTAGCGATTCAGTATCTTGCTAACACAGCCATGAGACACCCTTAACTGCCTAGAAATGACACATGGTCGAACACCAGCCGCAGCCATTTCTACAATTTTCAGTCTTATGTGGTTTGGAAGAGGGCGGCCGTTGATAAACACTCCACCTAGTTGGTTAACTCGTCCTTGACCTGAAACGAATAGAAAATGATTGAAAGAATGGTACTATAGGGCTAGACGTTGCTCGAATATTCCGCATAATTTTCATGATTAAAGTAAAAATATGAAAGTATGCCTGGGTTTATGAAAATCCGCAATGGGATGTTTTCGCAAACTTTTATTTCCTCGAAATATCAATACTTTCCTCTCTGTCAGTATATTCTGGATATTTCCACGTTTTACGTCTACTGGCGTTGTAATCACGGAAAATTTCGAAAATGAGATATTATGTTTTTTGGATATTATATACATGTAGAACATAAAAAATTTGAAGTTACTTTTCGGTTCCACAAGGCATAAACTAAATTTTTCGCACGAATTTACGTTAAATGCGTGAATATGTAGAACGGGCGATATAAGAATTTTTGATCAGCGTTTTAGAAAGCCACCGTCTGGTCTTCGAAACAACACAAAACAGAATAGATATGTACGTTGACCTATGATGAAACACAATTTCCTAAAAAATTCAATTTCGTCAAACGTTTCCACTTTCAATTTAACAGATATGCACAGTTATTACTATGTTGTTTCGCAAATGTAGCTTTTTATATATAATAGATATTTTAATAGCCAATTTTAGTGACTGTTTTATTGGAATCTAGGCTTTCCTAGTTTAACAAAATTTCACATATTACTATACTTGTTTTATGTGAAAATAATGACTTATGTTTATAGAATAAAGTATTCTGTACAATTCTACATGTATGAATGAACATGGGGTCATTTTAAAGTAGCTGCAACTATTCGAATAAGATAAGATGTTGCGGTTTGAAGCTCTCTAACCATCAAGTCTAAAATGGATGTAAACAATTTCAACTACGAGCCCCTTCCCACTTCAGTTGGCCCACTTCAAGATTTTTACCACAATATGCCTTTATAAACTAAACATGACGAAACTGTTTACTTCTAAAACAATTTATTTTCTCAAAAACATTTTAGATACACTCTAGTCGTAAAAAATACATATTTGACTTAGACCTATAACTAATAGAACATCTGAACAAATAAACAATGTGCGAATAAATGCGCGAAGTTGTGGACTTCGAAATTCTCCTTCCAACAGCGTCACTCCACATAGCACTTAATTGTAAATAATTGGCACGCCTGTTTTTCACGATTATTCTTCTTAATGCTCTTCGGTCGGCATTTGAGATATTACTTTTTCCACATATCGTGGCTTAATATTAACTGAACCAGATACGTTATATCTTCTAACAATATTTCTCACACTGTACCGCGATAAGTCTAACAAAGTTGCAATTTCTGAGATTGATTTCCCAGAATTAAAAAAATTTAATTATCACTAATCGAATTTTCTCACTAATAACCATTTTGAAAACCTTAACTACCCAAAACTATTTTAAACGTATTCTGACAGCTGTGATTAATAAAAACAATTGTCATGGCTTTTATTTTTCACAGCCACCCTTTGCGTTATAGACTTATTTTGCATTGAAGTGAAAAACGGTTGATATGCTGTAATTGCAACGTGTGTTATTTTTATGCTGCAAATTTGATTAGGGAGTGATAAAGTTGGTGTTTTCTACTATATATTATCGAAATATTTATTGTTAATATTTTAAACCTATAACACCCTGCTACATTTTTATTATTTGTGTTTGATAAGAAAAACACTAAGATTTCAATAGTTGGGCCAACTGAAGTGGGAAGGGGCTCGTATAAGTGGTTTAGTTTTGTTTAGGAAAAGCCATTTCCGATTTTTTATAAAAGCCTCATTCTGTTGATAACCAAGCAGTAGGTGCCGGATCCACGTTTGGACATTCTGTCCATTTCATCATAATTGGCTCTCTCAATAGATTTTATTCTCTTGTATCGATACATATTTCTATCCGTACCGTTAAAGGAACGTCAACGTATAAACTCAAAGTAACTGTATTCCACATATTACTTTACACATCTTCCTGTATCCAAGGTTCATCACATTTTTTTATTAAATCCCGTGGGCCAGGTTGGTTAATTTCATTACAAAAATAAATTAGTCAGTCAATTTGGATCACAAAAAATAAATTGTTTCTTGTCGGCGTTAGGCAATTAAAAGATCATTAGTGTCTGCGTGCTAATGGCATTCAGGAATCATAACTCAATTTGAGAACGGTAGGGGTTTGTTTGGATTTTTTAGCTTTGATATGAATCTATAAATCGATTATAGTTGAAGAGATTCATGAGTAATAGAGACTGCTGGATATATTGAAATCATATACGAGCCCCTTCCCACTTCAGTTGGCCCAACTATTGAAATCTTAGTTTTCTTCTTATCAAACACAAATAATAAAAATGTAGTGTTATAGGTTTAAAATATTAACAATGAATATTTTGATAATATATAGTAGAAAACACCAACTTTATCACTCCTTAATCAAATTTGCAACATGAAAATAACACATGTTGCAATTACAGCATATCAACCTATTTTCATTTCAATGCAAAATAAGTCTATAACGCATAGGTGGCTGTGAAAAATAAAAGCCATGACAATTGTTTTTATTAATCACAGCTGTCAGAATAAGTTTAAAATAGTTTTGGGTAGTTAAGATTTTCAAAATGGGTAGAGGAAAGGTTATTAGTTTGTTTTAGAAGTAAATAGTTTCGTCATGTTTAGTTTATAAAGGCATAACTTTCACTACGTACTAAAGATAAGTGAAAAAAAGTAATATCACAAATGCCGACCGAAGAGCATTAAGAAGAATAATCGTGAAAAACAGGAGTGCCAATTATTTACAATTAAGTGCTCTGTGGCGTGACGTTGTTGGAAGGAGAATTTCGAAGTCCACAAATCATAGAGAGGCCCACAAACTGGGATTTAGCACTTGCAAGGTAAGTTTTCTTATAAAAAAAAGTGAAGTAAAAACACTAAAGTTGCACAAATTGTTTATAGGCCAAAGAAAAGCCATCATTAACTCCACTGCAAAAGAAAAATCGGCTTAGATGGGCTAAAGAACATAGACAATGGACACCTCAACAATGGTGTGCAATACAACGGAGTGATGAGGCCCGATTCGAAGTTTGTGTTGGTGACAGTCGCAGTAGAGTTATTCGCAAAAAAATGAAGCATTCCATGTTGACTGTCTGAAGAGGAAAGTGAAATTTCCAACACCCATTATGGTCGGGGGCAGTATGTCATCAAAAGGAGTAGGGAAACTTCATTTTATTGATGGAAATGTGGATACAAAAGAAATATTTGGCAATTTCAGAAGAATCGCTTTTACCAGTGATGGAAGAATGTTTGACATCCGGCCAAGATTTTGTTTTTCAGCAAGATGGTGCAGCGTGCCATACCTCAAAAGAGGCTATAAAATGGATGAAAGAAAATAAGGTACCACTTTTGAAATGGCTTTCTAAAAAGGTTCTACGACAACATCCTGCTCGTACAATCACCGAACTGAGACAAAAGCTTCAAGAAATATGCGACTGTTTTACACCAAATTTTTGCCAAAACTTGGTTAACGCTATGCGCCAAAGAATTTCAGCCGTAATAAAAAATAAAGGTGATGTTACCCAATGGTAATCTTTCAATTGTTGCTTTGTTAACTTCGCGCACTTATTCGCACATTGTTTATTTGTTCAGATGTTTTATTAGTTATAGGTCTAAGTGATTTCAAAAATGTATTTTTTACGACTAGAGTGTATCTACAATGTTTTTGAGAAAATAAATTGATTTATAAGTAAATAGTTTCGTCATGTTTAGTTTATAAAGGCGTATTTTGGTACAAATCTTGAAGTGGGCCAACTGAAGTGGGAAGGGGCTCGTAATATACAAGATGTCCTGAAAGGAGACTTTCTTTTTCAGAAACAACTATGCTTGAAACGACAAGGCTAATGTGTGCTGGAACAGTAGCAATAAAGTAAAAAAATATATGAAACAGTGCTCTCCGTTCATTTGCAGAGAAATTTTCAGTAGGACTCTTTCACTTTTCGAAGTTGTCGCAGTTGGTACAATGTTTCATAGAAGGTCTAGGTATTGTAAGCTGTTCAGCCGATTTAGGAAAGTAAAAGGGCCAATGACTATAGATTTACCATCATGCCCAAACATTCAAAAAAGATGTTTGGTGAAAATGCAACCGACGGACTGGGTGACCCTTTTCCAATAATCACATTTCGGACTAATATGAACTTCAACTTCAACCCCGGATTATTTTAACTAACGTTCAACCTCACATTCCAAACTGTCAAGAAATACATGTGTATCTAGTACCTTTTCGAATTTCCTAGCGATGCCGATGCTTTTGTATGAGTTGTTTTGCATAAAGTTATTAGGGTTTTGGCCACGAGTACATTTAGCTGCTACGCTACTTAATATTAGCGGATTCACAATTGCTGTTAGTAGTGGACCTCCGGTAATCCGACAAACATTATGCATGGCAGTGAGGGACTATCGAATTTGTCGGATTATAGAGCACTGAATAAGACCCCCTATAGTCCGGAATTTTTTACAAAAGATTACCTTGTAATCCGACAAATTACATGTCCAATGGTAAGGTTATATATGTTATGTATATGTATGTACTTTGAAGTACAAATCATACATAGTTTATCTTTGTCGAATTTAATTAAATAACAATAGAGAGCTTACGTTTTATTATAAAATTAAGCATAAATGCACATACATATGTACCAAAATAATCAAGAATTATTAATCAAAATCATTGGTGTATTTATCAAATTATGGAGCTTGGAAATATTCATCAATTTTTATTTGTTTAAGGTTGTTATAACGCGAGATCAGAGCTTTGTCCCTCAGTCTTCTCAAAAGTAAAAGTTCGTTGTAGGATGTACCATTCTCTTCAGCCCATTGTAAACCTAGCTCAAAGGCGTTAATTGCGTCTTGTGCTGTGACTTGTGGAACAGTTGCAATTACGTCGTCGTTATTTTCCTGATTGTTGGTTGTATCATTAGAAACCTCTTTTATAATCTGTTCGTCAGACATTTCATGAAAAACATTTTCCTCTTTATC